GGCAGGGGAATACTGGGACCTGAAGTCCACAACTCTGGAGGCTGCCTAGGTTGGGAAATGCCAAGTGGAAGGTGGTTTTTTTGGCCTCAGCAAAGATGGAGTCTTTTTTGGTGCAATACCCATAGGTATTGTCCTTCTCCCTCCCTGTCCTATAAATGCTTCTTCCATATATATATATATACATTCCTCCCCTTGCTTTACAGAAAGGTGGCAGTTGATTTATAATTCCAGTAAATCTTGTTCCGTTTGGATTCTAGCTTTATAAGCTTTTTAGCCTCTGTTCCCCCACAATATGATAAATAAACACCATACCCATAAATCATCTGCATTTCTATACAATTAAATTGCAGGAGAGCCTCCAACATGACCTTTGCTTAGCTGACAAGAATAGTCAAGAAGTGGTGTGAATCATGTGGCTTATATTGGGAATAAAATGTAATAAATTGTGTATGCAGGGAGCGCTTGGTGTGTTGCAAAGCAAGGGGGTCCTCTGGCCCCAGCATTTTTGTTGGAGCCAGCAGCGCTCCCTCCTCCAATGCCCTTCAGTGCACTTGAGTGTTGCCCAATAAAGAGGCGCATCCTGAATCCTGTCCTGATCGAAAGTTTAGATCAGGGTTCTTAACCTTTTTATGCCACGGATTACGATGGGACTCCTACAACCCCCTTCTCAGAAAAAGGTATTTACATGCATAGATATAGATTGTATTACGAAGGAAACCCACTGTGGTCAAATACAGTGTGGGTTGCTTAATCCTGGTTTATAAAATAAAGCATGATTGGCTGGGTTGACATGTGTCGCCATACTTTGCTTCATCTTGGTTGGCTGAATAAAGCACAATTGCCTGGGTTTGCACGACATGCTATGGCAATGGCTGTGGCTTGCAAACCACGGTGATAGGTTAGCACAGTGTTTCTCAACCTTGGCCACTCAAAGATGTGGGGACTTCAATTCCCAGAATTCCAAAAGACTAAGCTGAAGAAGAAGCCTGTGTCCTTTGCATGATTCACAAAGTCTGGACTTCAACTCCCAGAATTCTCCAGCCAGCATGCTGGCTGGGGAATTCTGGGAGTTGAAGTCCACTCACCTTAAAGTTGTCAACGTTGGGAAACACTGGGTTAGCACAACACACTAAGCCAACACAAATGTACTGAGCCAACACATTTTGATTTTGCCATGTGTGAACTCAGCCTACATCCAGGAGGGGTGTGGACTGATGGCCCCTAAAATTGCAGCTTCCTGGAATGCTTTTCAGGGGTACAGATCAAGATTTATGTCAGGCTGGATTGCAAGCCTCTAGCTCAGTGTTTCTCAACGTTAGCAACTTTAAGATGAGTGGACTTCAACTCCCAGAATTCCCTTGGATGATTCACAAAGTCTGGACCTCAACTCCCAGAATTCCCCTTGGATGATTCACAAAGTCTGGACCTCAACTCCCAGAATTCCCCTTGGATGATTCACAAAGTCTGGACCTCAACTCCCAGAATTCCCCTTGGATGATTCACACAGTCTGGACTTCAACTGCCAGAATTCCCCTTGGATGATTCACAAAGTCTGGACTTCAACTCCCAGAATTCCCCAGCCAGCATGGCTGGCTGGGGAATTCTGGGAGT